ATCGGAAAATAAACGAGAAAACCATAGATGACAGATACCCATTACCTAATATAGCGGATATATTAGATAAGCTTGGAAGATCGCAATATTTCACAACATTTGATTTAGCGAGCGGATTCCACCAAACCGAAATGGATCCCAAAAGCATACCTAAAACAGCGTTTAAGGTAGAGCATGGACATTACAAGTTCTTAGGAATGTCATTCGGATTGCAAAATGCCCCTTCAACATTTCAAAGAGCTATCGAAAACGTATTAAAAGAATTACTTGGTAAAATATGTTTAGTTTATATGGATCACATAATTATATACTCACCCAATATAGCGGATATATTAGATAAGCTTGGAAGATCACAATATTTCACAACATTAGATTTAGCGAGCGGATTCCACCAAACCGAAATGGATCCCAAAAGCATACCTGCAACACCGTTTAATGGACATTACGAGTTCTTACGAATGCTCTTCGGATTGAAAAATGCCCCTTCAACAATTCAAAGAGCTATCGAAAACGTATTAAAAGAATTACTTGGTAAAATATGTTTAATTTATATGGACGACATAATTATACTCGACATCACTTCAACAACACCTTGATTCTTTACGACAAGTATTTGAACGGCTTATTTCATTCAATTTGAAAATTAAATTAGATAAGTGTAAATTTCTCCACAAAACTACTGAATTCCTTGGACATACAATAACCTCAGATGATATAAAACTAAATGAAAAGAAAGTAGTAGCAATAAAGATATTTAAAATTCCAAAAACACCAAAAGAAATAAAATATTTTTACGGACTTGTAGGATACTACAGGAAATTCATTAAAAACTTTGCTAAAATCACCAAACCTTTAATTCAATGTTTAAAGAAAAATTTTGAAATAATTCATGATAAACAATTTATCGATGCATTCAATTTTTGAAAGAATATTTTAATGAATGATCCGATATTAAAATATCCTGACTTTTTAAAACCATTTGTCCTTACAACAGATGCTTCAAACTACGTAATAGGCGAAGTTCTTTCTCAAGGTCCTATTGGATACTTATATGACCTTCTTGACCAAACACAAAAGTACATAAATATCTTTATGGTACCCTAGATGCTGACGATGGAGAACGTTACAATAATTATATCAGAACTCTGCAAAGTAATCAAGAAACGTTACATCAAGATTTGTCATCAACACAGACAATTCTAAAACAATTAACAAAAGAAATTGATACTTAGTTGACGAATGTCGAGACAAATCAACAGAAAATTATGAATCATATAAATGACCTCACACGAATTGACTCAATCAACGTCTACTACTATGTACTATATTATGTTACTAGATTACCTAGAAAACAATATACCTGTCATCAATGAGATTCGCACAAATGCTCAAGTTGCAATTAATTTTGCTGAGATAAATATTATGCATCATAAGATTCTTGGATATCAAGAACTTCAAAGAATAATTTTAAAATTAAATTCAAAAACGCGAATTCCATTTGATAATATAATCAAATATTACGAAGTCGCACATGCTGACGTGGCAATAAAGAAAGATCTTATAATTTTCTATATTGCAATTACCCTTATTTTTGACAAACTATATATACTCTATCGTGTCTATCCTAATCCAATCAATGGGAAAATAACACCTATTAATAATCCTTATTTATTAAAATCAAATAATGACTTTTTCAATTTACGAGAAAACTGTTAGAAAATAGAAGATCTCTTTTTATGTCCAAGCAGGCTACTAAATAAAAACGAGCCTTTTATTTCTGAAACTATAAATTTAACAAATCATTGTTTACTGATACCAGTAAAGTATCATGAAACTTATGTAATTCAATTAAATGATAATTCTATCATTATTATTCCGAAAAATCGAGAAAAAATTGATTTTCAATGTCCCAATCAGAATACGATAGAATCAGTAGATAAACCTGTACTGATTCTACCAATGGATGAAAAACTTAGCATAATAATAAGCACTAATTGTACACCCATTGAAGAAATTTGATGTTGTAAACACTAGTGCAGTAACTTTAATTATTATAATCATTATTTTTATCGCAGTGCTTATATTATATTATTATTTTAAAAAGAAGAAATCTAAAAACAATATAAAGGTGGACATAAAATTGAAACCCCTCGAAAATCAACCTCGATTTTTTCAGACTTAAGAAGGGAGGAATTATATGGCCATCTCCAATGATTCAGAAATGGATTCCATCCACGCTAGCTCGCTTTTCATTCTAAACAGATGAAACTGAAATTTTCCTCGATCGCCCTCCATTACAAAAATTATTATTACCACAGGTCGCTATAATTATTCCAAAATCAATTAATATCCGATAATTTCAGACCCACTTGTGTTTCAATTACTGGTTAAGGTAAAACCATAGTCTCAAGTCAGGCTCTGACGCAATCCAAGAACCTCAACTGTCGGTGATTAATGATATTCAGTACCGAAGGCGAGGAAACTTCATCATTTATGCAGAAAAATTATTACACAAAAAAAGACCTTTTTACAACGGCCGCGGTAGTCTTTTAAAAGATAATCAAACATAATGGAGGAACGGAAGATTTTTAATGGAAGCCTAACAAAGGCTCGGGTATTATCAATATTATGTTAATGAATCTCTTGGAAGTTTGAGATCTTAGCTGATTCCCTTGGGGCTGGTAAGTTTTTATGAAGAGAATTATGTTAGGTTTATTAATTAGGTTATGAATTACTTTGGTTCAAATAAAGAAGAACATCTCATATTGCAAGCATGATATAGTTATTTAATGGGATCTATTTTATATATACCGTATCATGACGTGTTAGCTCCAAATCAAACGGAAAGTTTTCCAAAGTGACACCATATCGCCAAAACTATTTGCCAAGAACTTGGGAATAAAAATAAATGGGGAAAACATAAGTTTGTAGACGATATTGTCCTGATTTCAGATAGAATTGACAAAGCCACACAGGTGCTTCTAGTTCTAGGAGTAGTTGTTGATTTGAAATGTATAATTAAATATTCGACAAGTTGCCTAATGTTGTTCAGGTGTGAACTTACCTTACGTTATCGCAAAACAATTATTAAAACCCATCAAAGTTTCGCTATCGTCAGGACTCTCTCGTACACAATATAGCTTTACTATGTTAAATACATTGTGTAAGTTTATATCACCTGCAGCGGTTTTAATCCCGTAGCGTTTTAGAGGTATACAACTATTTGTCAGGTAAAGTTTAGAGTCGAGAATGTTTCGTATACTCTACGGTTTAGAATGGATTATTGACATAGTTGCGATATTAATTTGTGAAGTTATAGTAGATTATACCACGAGTCAATAATGATAGCTATTATTCCCGAGGATTATTACGAACTGAGCCGCGTTAGCGGCGAGGGAGTAACATTCCGAGAGCATAATAGCCATTATTGCGAGTAGTATACTCTACTTTATTTACGACAAATTAATTTATTTGAGATTTTCAATGAACAAATTTCATCCGTCTCATAATTTTCAATACAAATCCACAAGCACTACACGTCTGACACTGACACTTTTGTGGAATAATGATCATTAATCCCGCTACTCGTCATTAATCCCTGGAGGAATAACATATGTCATTATACTGCCAAAATCACAAATATAATACGCACATTATATATTAGTCGTAAATAAAAATTATAATAAGGAAAATGAAGATGTTATGGTGGGTGTTAGATTTTTATTCCTTCAATAAACAATAAATTAGGCTAGTTTGAGATTTTCTTGCCATGAAGCTATGAACTTACTTTTTTGCAGGTAGTTTCAACATTTTTTACCCATAAAATGAATTGTTTCCATTGCATGTTATTCTACAAATGTAATTTAAAAGCAATCTAAAAGCAGACTTATATTCTTGTACTCACGAAATTTCATGTTTTTTTGTGGAGGATTTTTAGAAACCAACATTTAGTAATTTTCATGAACATGTAAATTAGAATCATATCCACTTAAATTATGGATATTATAATGTAATTTTAAATTTCATTTATATTACAAATTGCGCAAATCGTGCCAATGAATCTAGTTTTTATTGGGTTATAAATTTTCCTACACATAAAAGTTGCTAACTGGGAAAAATCCTATATTCCCTATTGTTTTCACATCATAAAATCCAACTACAATGCCCTTCTTGTTTAATTAACAACATCGTCTCTTCACATGCCCTTTACTGTTGGCATTGGATCATTACAACCAACCGCGTAATTTTTATTACCTCTCAGAGCCTCGACCGCTAGCGTCAGGTATTTTTATGGCAAATTTAATGTTTATAGCTCGTTGTTTTTTTCGTATTCAATTTACTTTATGGACGATAAAAATGCTTTAGAATGCCGTCAATAGAAGGACTATAAAAGAGGCCTCTCCTTTTATGTCCTTAGAGCAGAATACGGAAGTTAGTTCCAACGTAAAGGTTGGGCTACAAGGAAATGAAGCAATTTTCTACAAAGCATCTTGTCTTGATTTGAAACTCATTTCACCCCCTAAAAAGAAATCGTTTCCTAAAAAAAAAACACTTTGCTTCAAATCTACACAGCTTTCAATCAGATAAATTGAACGTTAATACCTAAAAAGGCTTAAATTTTTAACGGCTTTGAAAAGATAAATACGGCCTTGCATCCACCTCAAAAGCTAAGGGTAAACCGAGAGAAGCCCTTTCCAATTTAATCCTTCCGGGCTGCAGAAGGATATCTTTCCTGTAAATCGGACATAAATACTTTCGCTGTTAAAGTAGCTGTCTTTAGTAATCTGTTTGGCTTACTTTGTCTGGGCTCGATTTAATAAAGTCATATTAGTTAAACTTTGCAACTTACAACTTGTACGTTTGGGGAATTTTAATATTTCAAGCAACAAATGATTAAAATTTAATTCTAGTAAAGTTTAATAATTAAAGTAGTAATCCGGTATTTCAAAGCTAATAAACCAATTTCGTTGAACAACTTAATATTATCTACTAAATCTTACCTTGAAATTCTTTTCTTGCAGCTGAAACTGACGTAACGATGTTAGCTACGTGACCCATGACGCTGGCGAAGAGCAGGAGACCAAAAAGAAGCTAAAATTAATTTCATTTATTATTACGTTTATTTGTGGAATTCTTCTTAAATTCTAAATACTCGATAAAATAGCGCTTAGATCTATTTGCTCCAATTTCGAGTCTTTATTTACATTTTCATCGCTCCGCTGTTGAGATCAAGACTGGTAATACCTTCGTTGATATGGGGAGAGGTCAATTTAATTTCTCCGAGCTCGAATTTCTTTGTTGGTTTAAAAGGATGCCAATAAATAGCTCGGGTTTCGAGATTATTTGTTCGGGATATTATCAGGAAACTGTTCTCCTTGGGGGACAATGTCGAAGGGGAATTTTTGAGGATTGATAATTGAGGGTAAATTTGTTAAGGTGCACATTAAATATTGAGGTTACAGTGCAGACGAAAACAAGGTTCAAATTTGGATTTAATTTTTGCTCAATCTATCAACCCAGAAGCTTTCATCATATAACATTCCTGCGATGTTAATTTGTTAGGAGTAGAATCTTTCTTACCTGAAATATCACAAAGAGGTACTCCGGTTTACTCCTCGGTCGCGGCAGATCACCAATTGTTGTAAGGGCTAAGGTACACCAGTAGTAGCTTTGTAAATAGGCTTTCACATGATCTATAGGTATCAAGAGCAATATTAGTCAATGGAATGAACAATCTTGGTAAGTAAATTGGAATTAATTGCAAATAAATTTGAACTAATTTATTATCGAATGTTATTGTTACCCTCGTTGGACGATGAGTCGCTGTACACCCAATTTTTGCTCCCGAAACCGTCATTTTTTAATACTAAATGAAACACACATCCGTTCCAATGGAACACCACCAGAAGCGTGTGAATTAGATAGGAAGATCTAACAAAATTTGGATAGTTTGTGTGCCTCTCCGTACGGTCCATAAACGCCCAAAATCTGTACAGTTTAATCTAAAAAAAAAATATTTATAATACACTTAGCGTAACACTAAAATTAATTTTTTGAAACTAATATACTCTTCTTAAAAGGAGTGTCAGCTTTGTCCCAACAGGGCCTTCCTTAGCTCAAGATTAATGATAACGCAAGCTATGCAAGGAAATATCTTCTGGCAGTAATTGATAGAGATATTTTACCCTATCCCGTTCCTTTTCAGATAAACAGTAAGTTGCAAACAAAATAAACTTACCAGTCTAGAAAGCCTTAAAATTGAATTGAACCCTATGGACAAGTATAAAAAATCGAGCGGTAAGAGGCACAGGCAGTCGATGTAGAACGTGGTCGAATTCATGTAGTGTTGGCGTAGTTTGACCGCGTCCGTTTGGAGAACTCCGTCCTCCAAGTAGCCCGTCCGAAAGTGCACTAATATGTCCATTAGATATAAAAAGTCCGCAAAATAGTCTAGACAAAACCACACTAATATCGTACTCGCTGCAACAAAAAAATATATATATAAGTTACCATTGCGTGCATTTTATAATAGCTTGTGTGATAAGATCCAACCAACATAAAACAGGTTTTCCCAGGCCTTATCTCATTAAGTATTTAAATTGTTGCTTTATTGGATACATGTTCAAGCGAGTGTCAGGATAAAACAAAAGCGCACAAAATCACACATACATGGCACATCGTTTGGTAAAAACAATAAAGCAAACATATTACATTTTGCACACACGTTTTTAAACAATATCAAAGCAAAATGTGAGCTGGTGGAGTGGTGGAATTAGATATGCTCGCCAATTATGCATAGACTGAATAGTATTCAGAAGAATAGGTTTTAAAGAGATACGAATGTTTTATTTTTAATCAAGCTGCCACGCTTTTCGGTGAATAGAAAAAAAAAGTTTTCGGAGAGTAAAGGTGGGCTTATGGACCAATGACGGGACCTGGTGCAGAACTAAATTTGGTACTGAGTTCAGCAACCGAACAGCATACGGTACATAGTTTGAGAACGGATCACGATTTAGGAAACATAACCCTAGAATAATTGATTTGTTTAGAATCAATTTATTATTGGAAACTGGAATTGAAATATTGATTGAAACTGAGGAAAATCATTAGTCGTCACAAGTGAGAATAGAATTTAAATATTGAGAATTAGAAAATTCACAGGACATTTCTTAAAAGAAATAATTACACGCGGTCGAATACAACCTCCAAAAGTCGCAATTGTTCTGAAAAAGAGTTAGAAATTATCACCACGTCATCAATGTAGCACATGACATTTGGTTCAAGCTCGGGACCAAGGATAGCGTCAATGATTCTTTGCCAGGTTGCAGGAGAATTACATAAGCCAAATGGCATCCGACAGAATAGGAAGAGTCCTCTGCCAGGGACAGTAAATGCAGTGTACTCCTTGGAAGATTTACTCAAAGGGACCTGCTAAAATGCTGACTTAATATCGATGGAACTGATATATCGAGTATCCCTCAACTGATCTATGATGGTTGAAATATATGGGAGAGGATATGCGTTTGTTTTTGTATGTTTATTGACCTGCCTTAAATCGATGCAAAATCTGAAAAACCCGTCCTTTTTCCGAGCAAGGCACACAGGACTAAACTAAAGACTACTAGAACGCTCAATGACACCTAACTTCAACATTTCCTGAACTTCGTCATCTATACACTTTTCTTTGAAGGAAGATACAGGGTGATTGTTTTATGGGTCTTGTGCCAGGATCTATAATGATTTCATGCTCAGCTACCTTGCAGCAACCGAGTCCAGCACCCATCTCTGCAATTTTCTGCTCTACAAGGGTGTCTAAAGCAGATCGTTCTGACGGAGTCAAATTGTCTCTATCTTGGATAGACAAAATATCAGTCTCAGCAGAAGACTCAGAAGAATGCCAAACATCTTGTCTAAGATCTGGGAAAATTTTCATGATTTTCCAGAAGTCTATTCCAAAAATAATTTTATGGGAAAGTTCAGGAAGTAAGATGACATTAATAATGTGAGTTTTGTCCATTAAGCTTATGAGTGTCTGAATGTAACCTATGCTTGTGCAAGTTTGGTCATTAGCCACAGTGGAAGAATTTTGTTGTTTTATCAACTTCAAACCTAAGCTCAAAAGGGTTTCATATCCAGGCAATCCAACCAGAGTACGACTAGCACCTGAGTCAAGTAGACCTACCCAATATTTTAATTTCAAGCTATGGACGCTGATCACCTTGCGCATGTGATAAAATGTAGTCAAGAAGGAGCCTATTTCCAAAATCATCAAGGTTATTGGTCAATGGAGTGTGTCGCGACCAAATGATTTCCCCTGGGACCGTTTTTCGAGTTACCACATTTAGGACAATTCCTAACTGTGACGTTAGGGTAATTCTATGTGAAAGTTCAAGAAGTACTATGACATCAATAATGCGAGTTTTGTCCATTAAGGTTATGGGTCTCTAAATGTAACCTATGCTTGTGCAAGTTTGGCCATTAGTCACATTGGAAGAATTTTGTTGTTTTACCAACTTCAAACCTAAGCTCAGAAGAATGTCATTTACAGGCAACTTAACCAGAGTACGACTAGCACCTGAGTCAAGTAGACCTGACATAGGATATGGCGGCCCCACGTTGGGCGCCAATCAATTTTCAACGCTTTTCGGTGAATAAAAAAAAAGTTAAAAAAATATAAATAAAAATAATATTTAATAAAGACACTTGAGATTGCAGGACTGAAGGTCGAAGTGCGTGCAAATTATGTCCTCGCTCAAAATTAAACAATTTAGAGAGTAGGGGTGGGTTGATGGAACCAATGACGGGACCGGGTGCAGAACTAAATTTGGTACTGAGTTCAGCAACCGAACAGCATACGGTACATACTTTGAATACGGATTACGATTTGGGAAACATAACCCTAGAATAATTGATTTGTTTACAATCAATTTATTATTGGAAAATGGAATTAAAATATTGATTAGAACTGAGGAAAATCATTAGTCGTCACAAGTGAAAATAGAATTTAAATATTGAGAAATAGAAAATTTACAGGACATTTCTTTAACGAAATAATTAGTCCGGCCTGACGCAAGCGGTCGAATACAACCTCCAAAAGTCGCAAATGTTCTGAAAAAGAGTTAGAAATTATTATCACATCATCAATGTAGCACATGACATTGGGTTCGAGCTCTGGACCAAGGATGGCGTCAATGATTCTTTGCCAGTTTGCAGGAGCATTGCATAAGCCAAATGGCATCCGACAGAATAGGAAGAGTCCTCTGCCAGGGACAGTAAATGCAGTGTACTTCTTGGAAGATGTACTCAAAAGGACCTGCCAAAATGCTGACTTAATATCGATGGAACTGATATATCTAGTATCCCTCAACTGACCTATGATGGTTGGAATATATGGAAGAGGATATGAGTTTTTTTTTTTTTTTTTGTATTTCTATTGACCTGCCTAAAATCGATGCAAAATCTGAAGGATCTATCCTTTTGCCGAGCAAGGCACACAGGACTAGACCAAAGACTACTAGAACGCTCAATGACTCCTAACTTCAACATTTTCTCAACTTCGTCATCTATATACTTCTGTTTGAAGGGAGAGACAAGGTAATATCTTTGTTTTATGGGTCTTGTACTAGGATCTATACTGTTCAACTACCTTACAGCAACCGAGTCCAGAACCCATCTCTGAAATTTTCCGCCCTACAAGACTGTCTAAAGCAGATCGATCTGACGGATTCAAATTGTCTCTATCTTGGATAGACAAAATATCAGTCTCACCAGTAGACTCAGAAAAATGCCAAACATCTTGTCTAAGATCTGGGATAATTTTCATGATTTTTCAGAAGTATATTCCAAGAATAATTTTACGTGAAAGTTCAGGAAGTACGATGACATCAATAATGTGAGTTTAGTCTATTAAGGTTATGGTTGTCTGAATGTAATTTATGCTTGTGCAAGTTTAACCATTAGCCACAGTGGAAGAATTTTGTTGTTTTACTAATTTCAAACCTAAGCTCAAAAGAGTGTCATACCCAAGTGGACCTAACAGAGGATATCCCAATATATTAATTTCAAGTTATGGATGCTGATCACCTTAAGCATGTGATACAATGTAGTCAATAGGGACCCCTTACTTATGGAGTGAATCGATGGTTAGTGGAGTTATGTATGGGAGAGGATACGTGAAATTCACTAGCATCGAGCTGTAGACTTAGTTCAGGATCAGCTCGAACAACCGCCTCCAAATGATCCAAAGAAGCCAAAACGTCAATGAGGAGTTCAGTCTCCTCAGACCGTTCTTCCGTTGATATAATAGAGTCAGGAATTCGTTATACCCGCTCAAACAAATGAACTAACCTTGATTGTGTGGAAATGAATTTATTTTGACTTGCCTCACCTGATATGGTGGGAATAACATTATTACCCTCATCAAGAAATTGCCCAATTTGAACCTTCTCGTCACTGAAATTGAGAGAATATGGGGCAAAAGGACATGCTCCAGACTTTTCCAATTTTAAAAGCAGTCGCAATATAGATCTTAATTCGTTAACATTCTTCGTATCACTAACTGAGACACCTCGGACAATAATCTCATGAATTAGCATTTCCTTTTTTAGTTACGAGATAGTCATCTTGTAATCCTTTTTGTTTCAATAAATACGTTAAGCAATCAACAAGAACGATAAAGATAATTGGCTATTATACACAGGGGTTCAAAATATATGTTACTCAAAAATAATTAAAAAAAAGTTTAAAGATAGAAATTGAAATGCACTTAAAACTGCCAAAAGATAATGAATAATAATGTAGGAAGTTATTATTTTATCAATTTAAATAAAGAATGTCATTTTTATTTTTGTCGGTATATGTAAGGGTTTTGTTATTTGCGAACCATCGAATATGATATTCCCTTAAAGACGAGCTCTAGTCTGTCATTGTGGTCATTTGTCTTCGAATTCATTTCAGCATTGGGAAACAAACAAAGAGGGAAGAAACCGCGCGAAAATAGAATGTGGTTAGAAACGTTGTTTTTAAGAGGAAGCGAGCTGATTGGTTGAATCTCTCTCTTCTAGCGCCAGAAGGCGAACGACGTGTTTGTATTTTTTATCGGTCGAGACGCGATCCTAAATATACAAATTAAAGACGTATAATAAAGACGAATAATTACAAAAGACGTTCAGTAAACCAAGTAGTCCTTTTCCTGCTGTTTTCTAAAGACGAATTGTTTAGATCGAGACGCGATTTAAATGACAATAAAAGACGCCGACGCCAAGTTTGTTTCTTCAAGACGTTACTTGTTTGATGACGACTGTAAGCTGTTTCCATTAATTAATTCATTGTACATTGTACTATTGCTTGACGCCACCATATACCTACCTGTTCTCTTTATCATTATACACCCTTTTAAAATTACCTGTGGCCTACTTATTCAAAATCCTAGACAACAGAATAAAAATCCTACAATAATATATGGGTATAAGTAAAAAAAAAATTAAAAGAAAAGAGAGGAAAACTACAAGGGCAGAAAACCTCTTATTCAAATGACGGCCCCACGTTGGGCGCCAATTAATTTGTAACGCTTTTCGGTGAGTAAAGAAAAGTTCAAAAAAATAAAATAAAAATAAAATTCAATAAAGATACTTGAGATTGCAGGACTGAAGGTCGAAGTGCGTGCCCTCGCTCAGAATTAAACAATTCGGAGAGTAGGGTGGGTTTATGGAACCAATGACAGGACCGGGTGCAGAACTAAATTTGGTATTGAGTTCAGCAACCGAATAGCATATGGTACATACTTTGAAAACGGATCACGAAACATTGAATTAGAGTTTGCCTTATTACGATCATCATCTCAAAAATAAACTTATAAGGAACTATAATTTATCATCCTCCATCCCCTTTGCTTCTGAATAATGGTTACTTCTTCATTAGGAAACGGAAAACAAGTTTTAACATCAAACCGGGCGTGTGCGTGCAATGTTCCAAAAATTGCGTGCAACACGACACCGAAAAGCCCTTTGCGAGAAGTTTTAGTTTTATGATTTGGAAAAACACTAGGTTGCTAATTTTTTTAAATACATAGAAAAAGGTATTTCAGTAAATCTAACATAACAAATGAATAGCTTAAATTTTTGAATAACTTCATCTATCCGATTAATGTTTCACTTACCGTCAATTTCCCGAAAGGCAAATCGGTAAATTATGACCCAAAGGTTATAAAGGCAGGCGAGTGAAACTATCATAGACCAATAGTAACACAGTCGTCCCGCAGGGTCAAAAACGAACGACCACCCTGTAGATCCTGCTCGGAGACGTCCTGGGTAAGAGTCTACACGTCGAAATCCGTAACGGCTAAAATAAAAGACAAGCTTGTTTAAAACTTTAACTTATTTCGGAACACAATTTTGTGACAGTCGGTACGAGAACTATGACAAAACATAGATTAGTTTCTAAGTTTTATCACGATTTCTTGGTTACTTGCTTTGTTTATTTTAATTTTTAATAGTTTCGAAAAGGTTTATAGGAATAAGGAGTAAAAAAGCAAAATCTGACAAATAGTAGAATCGGAGAAATATTAAAACAATAAATTAGAAATGATTAGCCTGCCCTCGAAAAGCTTTCAAATTAAGTAGTAAATGACAGATATAGGATATGATTTCTACAATTGATTTAGAAAGAAGAGTGGTTTATATTGGAAATCCCCATAAATACGTTTGTCGTAGCACAAAAAAAAATACATGTTCCTTCAGAAAAGCAAATAGGTGTCATGATCCGGTGATTACTTTTCATTAGACCATGCGAAAATTTTTATCGATGAAATAGAGACAATGCAAGGAATTGTCTAGGAAAAGCAATAAAAATCGAAAGCTTTTTATAATTCACAAGCATTACATGTCCTAATCCGCTGCAGCAAAACACGTCCGCTTTGCGCATTGCATGTACTCGTATAGGTATAGAATTAAAATTAAATTGCCTCAACAGACCTTTTATTTTTTCTCAGCGAATTTCTACTATCTACGTTTTTATTTGGGAATGTAACTAACTTGTTACTTTTCTGTTATTTTGTGTTTAATTTATGGGTTTATAAATACATGTGCATTATCGAGAAATTTTGGGAGCTTTCATTAGAGTGGCTGGCATGAACACGAAAAAATGAGAAGAAATAGGAATGGGGAGAGAAACTGATATTCCTCCCTATCTACCTAATGGAAAAACTATCTGCAGTCCTTGAGAAAATCAAAAATAAAAAAGGCACCTGGTCCGAAAGATAAGCATTAACCCGTGGGTGTTCACAGCAAATTTTGTTAGGAAGGATATTTTCCAAAAATGTAAAAAAGGGCTAAGTTTGTCCTTATTGGAAAGCATGATTTAGAGTCAGATTGTAGAAGCTGCAGTGAACCGATATCAACCTGGAATAAATTTTCCATAGTTTTATATTCATAATTGAACTCCTTTGACATTCCTGATAAATGAAAGTAGCATATTTCACTTTAATAATATTAATTTCCATTGAAATTTCCAGAAAATGGAACTAGCCAGAAAACAAGTCTTCCGACGCGACGCTAAAATACATAAATAACGTCATACGGTGGAGAGTATGCAATAAAGCGTCGCGACGCTATGCAGGAAACGACGACCCACCGACGTCGCCGCCTTTTGGGACCGATAAACCCATTCTTGTAGGTTTCGATTCGGTGTGTACTGTGCACGTCTCGAATTCACAGAGATTTATTAAAATCGGCAATGTTTTCGTAAAATCTTACCTTTCTGTACCATTGCAACTACTACTGCTCAGATGATTCGTAGAAGGAGGGTTGGTACCTGCTGTTGAGCCTGGTGCTGTTCTCCAAGCTCCCAAATATGGACCTCCTTCTGAACTAGCTAACGTTACGCTTGTGGGTAATTTTAAACGACTACGTAAGTCTTTTCTGAAAAAAAAAATCTGTTGTAAAATAACATCCACTCATAATCGACGCATATGACCCAATGGCAAAATACATAAGGCGTTTGCAATTTCATGTTTTTGAACCTTTCAAGTATGTACTTTCCATAAATTGAGTTTTTGAACCTATTTTCTTTCAACCTAATTAAGTGATTTGAGATTACCTGTAACTTTTTTCAAATTCTTGCGAATAACAATGTGTCATCGGAGTATTTTTATATTTGTGATCGATATTTGTTTTTTTCACCTCGCCTTCATCAAAAGCTTTCGTGAAAGCGTATTTCCAATAAAAACGAAAATGCAAAGGTGGCAACACACAGCACAACCCTCGTTTATTTTCGGTTTTTGATATTTGGTTCGATTTCGTAAATCCCTCTGCATTTAAAGTTAATTTACTATGTCTTACTTCTTTGTGAGGCCTTTTCATACTCAATAGAGGCCAAATGAACATCATCCATATTCAAATCCAACAATTTTTAAATCAATTTATTTGTCGCGAAGAGTGTTTTTTCCGTAAGTCACACTGATTCTCACATATAACTGGGCCTAGTTTGCTAGTATTATTCTTTACTTTTTTCTATTCAAAAACATACAATGTGATCGAATGTAAGAATACATAAGCTTTATGGCATGATGGTAAACGAATTCCTAAGCCTTAGCTGTTTTCCCAAGGCTTGTTATATTCTCTCAACAAAACTCTAATAATACTGGTTTAATAAAAATATATAGAAGGGGAAATAGATGTTGAATAGACAGGGGTAACTAGGGTTGGATGGTGTGACTAACTAAAATCAGAAATGAGCGCCACCTGCTTTAGTGCCCTACAGTCAAACGGAGTCCCTGATGATTCGAAAACAGGAAATCTCTGATGCCAAATAATACTGCACCGACCTAAAACTTCCAATAGGAAATACCAAAATAAAAGCCTGAAATTTAAATAACTCTCTTATTATTCAATCCAATATTTCTTGAACAATAGTACAGCCCTGATAAGAGGATACGTCAATATTTATATTTCAATAATTTAAATAGGAATAATCACTGGCCCAAAGCAGTCAATTATATAAATAAAGTCAGCAATACGAAACACAGTCTTACCACAGCATTTACCTTACATTCTGGCTTATTGTGGTGATCAAAAGTTATAATTAATTTCCTAATTACATTCATTGAGTTCGAATAAGTGAAGGGTGGTAACTGAGTACGGTTCACGCCCCTTAAATCAATACCAAAATACTCAAAATACCGTCGTAGATAGATCTATTCAAACCTGGTGTACAGATCCACTAATTGAGGATTGTGAGTGTTAGACGTGTGTTTACACTAATTTGGACTACTTGGAATATTCCAGAAAATCAAAATAATATGGTAAGTAAACATAAAATTAACTTAATTTAAACCTGAAGGATGATAAGGTAATTTTCGAGACAGGTAGTGGTAATTCAACTGGCTATAATGTTGAAGAGTACAAGTGGTTGCAGGTGAGAGGCTCCCAAGGAGATGGTGGAACTCTTAATACACATGGTGGATGGTTCCCAAAACGGTTATTTGATTGAGTGGTACTACTAGGAACCTCTTGGGGGACGATTGAGATTCACAGGCCCCAAAAACTTCGCAAGCAATCTATCAGGTCCAGGGTTGAGCACCAGCAATTCAACAATCAGGTGCCTTTGTGCATTTAACGACAGCAACAGCAGAAAGGGATCTAACGTTACCCAATGTAAAAGGCCTAAAAGAGAGAGTTCACACTATAAAAACTCGATTTCAACAAGAATTGAGGTAAATACTGCAATCAATTACGTTTTTGGGGACATAAAACTCTAACAGGGTCCAGATTACAAAATAAACTGATGAATAATAGGGACTTACCAATGTGGATTGGCCTTTTCGACACTCAACACGTGACACGAACCAAAATTATATTCCAGAATTTGGGTTTTTACGTACTAAAATCTTCATAAATTAGCAAATACTTGCTGTGGTGTTATATAAGAATGATAGCCACCGTTTAAGACTCAATTATTAATCCCAAATATTCACTCAAGTTGGCCAAAATGCCTCAGAAGAAAGCTATAACGTGGCTTCTCTTCTGTGTGATCCTAGAAAATGAAAAATTCCTCCAACAGTAGAATTTCTGGTTACACGAATCGAATTCTATGGAATTTTTCGTTCATTTTTGGACAGTTTGAATAAATGCAATACTCAATATTCAAGTTTTGGGCCACAGTTGACTTAAGTTCCTTGTCTGATTTAAACAATTTCCTAACCCTACCAATATTTGTTTACATTTTCCTATTCTAATTCTATCTAAATTTTCTTATTATTTCAGGCTGGAAACCTCATGTTTTCAAAGTTGCACAATGGAAACCTCTTCAAAAATAGGGAAAACAAATGCTGATTTACCTGATTCCTACAGAACAAAACAGAACAGAGGACACAATAGTAAAAACTCGAAAAAATGGTAAATATTTTGCTCTATACGATCTTATCTTATCTCAAATCAATCTTATTTTCAGAGATCGCCAGTAGCTGTGGATATCTTCACGGAGAATAATTATTGTGACTGTTATGTGAAATATATATTAATTTTATACTAACTATTAGTTCGGGCAGGGACAGAGTAGTAAAAGACCAAAGGCAGCAAACTGAAAATTAGACACGTGCTTACTAAAACTAAACTCATCAAATCATGCACTTGTGGTTATATGTTAAATAAATAGATGGCTGTATTTAAAACCTAATGTATATCCTATAATACCCAGAACCCACAACTAACTTATAAACCTATAACAAATACGAATTTTCATTCACAATGCATTTGGATTTGACTGTCACCTAATGAAAATTTTAGATTCTTACCTTCTATGTTTTCTGGATAAATCTAATTCACTAGCCGAACTAACGTTTGCTGCCCGGTTGACGTATGCCGCTGGTAAGCTATCGCGGGACGACGAGAAGAAACCTTCTTGATGAAAGCTACTTCTCTCCGACGGGCTGCACTTGGACATGCCTAGCTTACAACCCACTAGATCTAGAATAAAGGAATATTTTTGTAAACGAAGTAAGTTATTCAAAAATATAATACTCACTAAGCAAGCTCTGCTTTGATACGCTTTTGAGCACCCGATTCACGCTTTCTGTGCTGGTTTTGTGAGAAGTTGGGCGGGCGGGGGGATTGAGCGCCATGTCCAAACCCCCGCCACTTCCCCTCAGACGTTCGCCGACCATACACCCACCCGACGTAATGATGCCTGAAACAAAAAGAAAATATTCACATGAAATATTTTTTCAATGATTTAACTTGATTATGAGAAGGTGCAATATTTCAACCTTGACGAGGTCATTTGACGAGGGAAGTTGCAGATTCTAGCCTTAAATCAAGGTAGATAGAGGCTAGAAGTTTACGGTTTTTGTCAAATGAAGAGGTACTGGTGTTAACAGGTGAGGGAATTGGTTCCTCTAGAAAGTCCCTTCAAAAACGGCTCCTCGGGAAAAGGCTCCTCGCAAAATCCTAAGTAATAGAGGCATTCCATGAATAACCGTTACTTGAAAAAAAAATTAAAAACCTTAAGATAAAAGGAGAGGAAATACCTCGATTTGAAATCTGTCAACATAGGAAAATAAAAGTCATTCTTCGGATACTTTATATAGGTACAGTAAAAAGATAAATTCGGCGTATGAAATCTCCTCTTCTGTTCAACGTTCTGTATAGGGTAATTATGCTCTAGATTCTCTTAAATGTTAGAATAGTACTCGCCCACAGTCGACCCCGATTGATATTTTTTCCAGCATGCTCAAGCGACTTTGCTTTGAGCATTTTGATCACACTGATGCTCACCTTATTCTCCTGGAAAGCAATATTTCTTATCCACTTCCCACAAAAATGGATTTGTAGCAGGTATTATTGTTGTATCTCTGAAATTCGTTCTTCCTCAAGCCTCTTGCCTGTACCATACTCTCCAGAAGTTCAGTTCTGATATCTTCCCATTTCATGATAATCAAATGTATTTTCCTTATCACCCGAGGAGCCAATCCACCCTCTACACTCTACCATGTTTGGAAAGCTGATTATCATAGGACACTCTTGTAATCAATCTTTTATATATTAAATTTAAATAAACAAAGACATAAAATTACATTTCTTTAACCAAAAAAAGTTTTCCTGAAAAAAGCTTTCCGCTCCTGGGTGTCGGATGCTATACCTTAGTCGCAGTGAAAGTGTATTTAAGAATAAGTTCGTTGGTCAATAATTTTCTATATAGTTTGAAACAGTTTACAAATTCTCCGTCGTTATTGATTTTTGCACCTTTTTTTAAGCATTGGGTTTCGTGATTTTTGCAAAATTATTTATGAACCTCCGGTAGTAACCTAAGAGTCCTAAAAATCCCTTGATTTGCTTTGTGGTACTCGGAATCGGGTATTGTTTTATAGCATAGATCTTGTCGGGGTTTGGTTTTACAACGTCTGGCGTCACAATATGACCCAGGTATGCGACTTCGTGTCGTAGAAATTCACTTTTGTCGAGCTGAATCTTGAAATTTGATTCTCGTAAGCGTTGGAATAAAAAAATAATTATACCATCTTAATAAACTAGGCATTTTTCTTTCTGTAGGCCCCTAAGTATGGAATGCATGACGCTTTGGAAGGTGGCGGGGGCGTTTTTAAGCCCAAACGTCATTCTAAGATATTAGTAGTGTCCGTTTTCTGTATTAAAAGCTGTGGTAGCTGTGAGTTCAAATTTTGAGATATTGTTACATGGGACCTTCGCGACTTACGGTTGGGGTAATGCAGTTCGTCGCTCAGTTTATTACCATCATCCTAATCCTTAGCCTCTATGTGTCCTCTGCTAGACATAGGCCCCTCCTAAATGGTGCCAGTCGTTGCTCTCTGGCATTTGTATCCTGTTCGGTATATATCATCTGCCCACCTTACCGTTAATCGACCTCGGTTTCAAAAGCTTTGTGTCTTGATTTCAATTCTAGAATCTTGTCGGTCATCAGATGTTTCAGCAATATGACCAGCCCAGTTCAATTTTAATGTTTTTTATTCTTATGATAGCATCTGCAACACCAGTTCTTTTTATCCTTATTACTGCATTTGGAATTTCACTCACCCATAGGCTTCGTTCCATGGCTCGTTGGGCGGTTTGCATCTTATTTATCGTCTTTTTAGTTAGTTGAAGTTATTGTTTCTGCACTGTGAGACAGTACTGGTAGGACGCACTGATCAAAGGTTCTCGTTTTAAAGCATATCGGTATGTCTTATCTGAAGATTTGTTATGAGCTAAAATTTCCCAAAGCTGTCCTATAAAGTGAGCCCTACATTCTTTTGAAGCTCACGATTATCAATTGATTGTCTTGACTCAAACGACTTTCGTGTCCTGTGTCCTAGATATATACGATGATATCTGCTCGATCGCTCCACGTAGAGAGACACTAGACACCGCGCTTTATTCAAAGTTTGCCAGTTTTATTGTGGAGTCTGACGCATGACATAAGAGTTTCATAGATTTTCAATTACTTGTGGAAAAGGTGGTTTTTCCAGCAATCACCAAGCGCTAGAAGCATTTCCTATTGGTCAATGGTGTCAAACACTTGTTTCCTGGGTCCACAAATAGAAGGATAAGCGGCTTATTGCATTCGACTCGTTTTTCAATTAGGATCTGGACAAAACATTTGCCCAGTCACCATAGCGGAAACCGGCTCGTTCTCTCGAAGAGTGTATGTGTGAGTATTTTCGTTATAATTTCTGTAAAAGAGTATTAGGCCCTTAAGTCGTTGGTTTTTCAAGTTAGCAATATTACTTCTTGTGTTGCATGATTGAAATAGATGACATCCAGAACCCATTCTCTCTTGGTAGCCATAAAAAATACAAAATCAAGGTAGATCGTATGTTTATAGTAGAAGATCGCCTAGCCTACTTTTGATAATAATTGGGTGAGAGTAGAAATTAGAGGTGGGTATTGCGATTTCACGAACTGTGACTTTGTCACTGTTACTAGTCTGTCACAGTCACGGCCTGCTCTAGTCCCACTCAAGTAGCAGTGACATTTTGTCACGGCCGCTTCGATCTCTGACCGATACAGCGTCGACTAAACTAAAGACAAAGTGATGCAAATAATGAAATATTATTATAATTCGCTTCGCGGTGACGCAAAACAGAAACTGTTACTGCAGAGGGCAGACTGGAATATCTCTCTCGGCCATCGAGTCCATATTCTTGAAAATTATCTAGCCAGAAGAGTGCTTGATCGTGTCTACTAGAAAGTTTCCTAGAAAATCAACCGATTGTTGATTTTCGTGAAGATTTTGGAGAGTGAGGTGACTATCGGCCGTTCAGGTATGTAAATTCCTTTTTCTCTCTCTGATGAATAAGTCCTTATATTCCCTCAATTCATTCAGGCACCTTCGGCAGGCCGAAAAATCCGTGCCTGCACTTCTCCAAGTGAAAATTGACAAATTTGAGACCACGCTGAGCTGGAAACTCAGAGCAAATCTGGGCCCCCTTTACAAGGAAAGGCTGTGTCCTGTAACAAGTTGATTCCCAACCATTGTCTTCAGCCAGTTTGATACCTCCAGATCTCAAATTTGTGAAAACTTCCGAGGCTTTACAAGGATTCCGTCCAGGCTTGTATAACTACTTACCTATGGGTGTCTTAAACGTGCCATCCTAATTACCGTAACTTATTTTTACCTTTTCTTTATCGCCCCCTATCGTTTAGCTTCATTAGCTAATTAATATCTTTGTAAATTCAATTACCGACTTAATTGTTTACCGTATAGTAGTGTTTAGCTAGAATAGCTAACTACTGTTTAAATAGAATTATTAATTTAATTAATTAATTCTTATCAGAGTCAGATATTGGCTGTTATTATCGTTTTCTCTATCAATATTTATTATTCAATAAGTATGCATTATTATAATTATTATAAATTTATTTCCGTAACATCGAGTACTGATTGATATAATATTATTGTGAATTCATTAACCTTTAACTATTAATTTAAAATCAATAATGTGGTAGTATTACAAGGTAATTTAATGTAAAATCCTTAGGTAATCCAATTTAAGTTTTATGGTTACCTATTTTGAACTTTAAAGGTAAGAAAGTAGAGCTCTTCCGGAAACCGTGACCCCTTGATTTCACTTAGCAGGTTTTTGATATTTATAACTGCCTACGGATTATTTATTACCTTTCCGCATTGAATAAATTGTTTTTTATTGATTTGATTGACTTTGAGTCAAAAATTAAAGGTTAATATTATTTTGACTTCAACATTTACACTTAGGTAAGTCTCATCGTAGGTATCTACTTAATTGTTCTGAATTTCAATCTTTTTGTATACCTATTTAAATTAAGTATTGCTTTCGGAAAGCTGCTTATTTTTTTTATTTTTTTTTTATTGGATACTGACAATAATCACCTTTAGGTAAACAATTTATTTCTTCAATGTTGATGAACAACAAGTTCGCCATCTGGTCAATAAATTATTGTTTTTAGAATTCCAAAACTTGTGTTTTTATTGAAAGGGTTAAATGTCAGATAGGTATTGGATTTATTTTACCTTTTCAGATTTTTGAATTTATCTTTTTAAATAATAGCTAATTATTTGAATAGTGTCTAGTTTGGCTATTCTTTGATAATAAAAATAATTTCATACAAACTAGTGTTTACTGTACCAACACCAAAGACCACACCAAGCTAAAGAACCACTGAGCATAGTCGAGCATAATTATGAGCATTCTTTTGTTTCGACAAAAGAGCGTTACACTGCGAACTGGGCGAATTGCGATTATGTTTTGTAGCATTTATATGTACGGCCAGTCAATATTAAACTACTCCAAAATATCTTTGCTATTTGTCACCGTGACACGACTGGAGCAGCCACGTATTGTCACAGTTCCAGTAAAATCGCAGGTTGGCCTACCTGTAGTGGAAATCCTAAGATTTTTCCACTCGGGTAACTAATTTAACTTGAATCTAGCTAACGTTTGCATCTTCTTCAGGTGTTGATTCAAAAATGACCTCTTGCGTATAGCCTCAGCAAACAAAATTTATTGGCTGGGAGTTTTAGAAGGTCGATTGTATTTTCGGATTACGTAGTTTTGGTTGACATAAAAGTGAGTTTCATCATGAACATTTTTCTAAAGAAATGAGTAGCATATTGTGCACAAGCATGGAAGAAAGGGCAAAAAAGGTAGGAAAGGGTTATTATGGATAAGCCATTTAATGTGAAACTATTCACTTATC